CACACACACACTCTCTCTCACAGGCTGGGAGAGAACACACACATACTATACGTGGAAGTGCGGGAAGGTAGACGTGGGAATAGGAACACACAAATGCAGACTGGTGAGGTGAGGACAAGCTCAATCAGGGAACACACACACATACTGTTGTGTTAAGTGACCCAAGGTCTTTGTGAAACAATACAGTCACAGTGTTTAACTTATTAAAGAGAAAGCAGAGGAATAGGCTGATGTAGTTTTCAATCAAATATGCCGGCATGACTTCCAAAAAAGAGAGAAAAAACACACACACACAGACAAAATAAAAATAGAATGGAGCAAAAAGCAAAACAGAAATACAAGAAACCTTAAAAAAACAACTTCTGAAAAATCAAAGCAACCCTCCAAAAAAAACCTTTCATATTGACTTTTTTTGCCTATGTATGTATACAGCCAACGGTTATATCATTCACTGAATAGAGGGCAAATGATTAAACTATACTACTAATATGAAAACAAACCTTGTCTGGCCTACAAAAGCACATTGCGTTCGTGTACAAGTGGCCAGCTCCACTGGTGAGTGTGTGTTTTCACTGCCTGACTCTCCTTTTCTAAATTTAGAAATGTATGTCTCAATAGTTCCAAAGGGTTTCACCCATGCCACATAACCTCTGAAGACCCATATTATTGGAAGGCATCGACATTTTGCAATCATTAATATCAACAATATAGAGGAATTATTCTCAAAAATTCAATTTATCTGTGGCTCATAATGTCGAGCACCATCACCACACACAGCACAGACACACTCTGTCACATAAATCAGGTGTCACTGTCTCATTTAGCTTCAGTGAATAATTCTGTAATTACATTTAACATGCAAACACACAAGACAAATTAGGCCGCACTGTGTTTCACTTGCCTTGAGGGAAGCACAGGGAGAGTAATGGCCCCCAGAATTGCAAATGAGGCGCCTTGTGACATTTTTATATCATAGTAAATCACCGTATGTATGAGCCAACTTTGTTGTGTGCTTGCAGATTACCAGCGTGTGTCTGGATGTGTTGACATGCACCCCAACAAAGTCATCACTACAGTCACAACATGGGCTAGGTCATGTCTCTGGTCAGTGGTACAAATCTGTGTGTATTAAGCTGGAATTTACTCTGTCCATTTCCTGTTCGACCATAAATCCAGGACATGTTGTGTATAGCTACCAGGAAGATGGGCTGGGATGTTTCCCAGATTCAGATTAAGTCCTGAACTAGAAATTACAGGCTGGGGATGTTCTTTATTGAGGCTTTACAGTTGAGGATTAATCTGTAGTCTGGCAAGTCACCCATCAAAATCCAGTTATCCAGTACAGGCAGAAAACGGAGCAAAGAAGAAGAGAAGATGAACATGGTGTAGGAAGGAAGGAAGGTGAGATTTTAATAGGAAGGCCTGCGGGAACTCACCTGGTCTTTTCTCCATTTTTCTCCCTCGACTGCCACATAGTCGAACCTTCGATATTAATATTAGGATTTGCTTCTGGCAGAGCGACTTGTTGCTCTTTGGGCAGGGCTTGCGCTTGCTGGCGATCTGCCGGTTTGCCTGGGGGTCCTTGACCTCCCTGCGCTGGCGAATAAGGGAACTGGCGAGAGCAGCCATCTTCCCAGCTCTGACCCTGCCGCCGCCTCACCAGCCTCTGGCGGCTCGGTGGCGCCCAGGTGTCGGGGGGTACCGTGGGCCACCCCCCTGCCCACTCACCCAGGGCGACGGAGCACCGCTGAGGGAGGGGGTGCGGAGCGGAGGAGGGGGCTTCTGAGGATGGACCGAAGCGACGGGGAGAAAAAAAAGAGGGAGAGGAGGGGAGGAAGAGGAGGAGGTGGAGGAAATAAGGGTGGATCCCTGAAAGGCCCACCCAAAACTGACAACTGGTGCTGGTTGAGGCTCGGATTGATGAGCGATAGCCTTTAAATGTCCTTCCGGTCGTTTGTTTTCTGGTTAAGAGTGAGACTCAGGTGAAGCCTTGATACGTCACTGTGTTGGGACAAGTCATGTTGTTATCCACCCAAAAACCAACGCACTGTAGCCGACGTCTCCCAATGCCTCTGTCCCAGTCCGAGTGTACCTTAACCCCACTCCTGGAGCTCCACGGAAGTTTGACTCAATCCTGTCCGAAAGGGTTCAGCAACAGAACCATTCGCCACATGATGAAACCCACACAAAAATCACATTTAGTCCTCCTAACCCGCTCAGTCCCGATCAGAAGCCTGAATCGATTCAGTGGGACGGAAAAACGTCCGAATATCAACTCTCCAAAATAACAGGAGTGACAGTGTCGGGGCACACTGCAGCTCCTTTTCCTTCTGCCCCTCACCTGTAAAATTTCTCCATCCCGAAACAATGACAGAGAAGTAGAAGAAGAAGAAGTAGAGACCGTCCGACCTGAAGTATCAGCTCCGCAAGCTGGGTCGAGGATGAAGGGATGTGGATGGACGCTGCCGGACGGAGTGCGGCTTGTTTCCTCGCTGTCTCTCAAGCACTCCTGGCATCACCCGTTGCGTTCACCCGCACCCTGAGAGAAGAAGGGAAAAAGACAGGGGCTTGATAAATCCAGCATTTCCCAGAGATAGAGGTGACATTCATGAACGAGAGAGCGCGGGGATAGAGAGACAGACAGGGACACAGAGAAAGAGGAGAGAGGGAGGGAGGGAGGGAGTGCAGTGAGTCTATCTATCCCCCCTGTCGGATCGGGCTCTCCAACTCTCTCGGCAGCGCGCTACACCACAGCAGAGCGCAGCGCTGTGTCCTTCAGCCACGCATGCCGCCTCGCAGCTGGGAGAACGAGGGATGAATGAATGGAGGGAGACAGAGAGGGAGGGAGAGGAGAGGAGAGGAGAGGAGGTGAAAGGGAATAGGGGAGGGGGTTTGTGCTGGCAGGTAGCCGTGCCTTACGGTAGATGCTGTGTTGCCGCCGCTCATGCGAGTGTCCACTGGTGGGTGACAGCAGTCCGGTCTGGTTCTGTTGAGTCCAGCTGCACAGTGAGAGACAGGGGGGAAAGTGTGTCTCCCGACCGAGGCACCTCTCAGCCTCAACTCACACGTGTGAGGGTGTGTGTGTGAAGGAGTGGCACAGTGTGAAGGTGTACGGGTGTGAGGGTGTGTGACAGAGGCAGCATGTACGTGTGTGAAAGAGTGTGTGTGTGTGTGTGTGTGTGACTCGCTCTCTTGCTTGTCCCTGTTCACAGTGCATTACCGAGAGAGCGCTGGCAGCGTGCTTCACATACTCTCTCTGTCTCTCCCTCCGCCCTCTCTCTCTCCCTCTCTCCTTCTCTCTCGCTCTCTCTCAAATCTATTTCCCTAAACCCTCCCCTTTGCTCTTGGTTCTCCCTCCCTTTTCTCCTCCCCCTCTGTCACTCTGATCCCTCCTTCGATGTCTGCGATTCAAAGTCCTTTCCTCCCCTGTCTCCCCTGTTCTCTTCATCACTTCTCTCCTGCCGAACCAGAGCCAGGCTGAGCCGGGCCCGGGCAGAGGTGGGGTGCCCCCGCCGCCCCGCTTCACCCTCCCACTCTTCCGCCCCACCCAACCAACTCCGACGTGATGTTGGCTTAAAGAGACAAACTGAGCGAGGTTGTCAGTGCTGTGCTCACAGCTATGACAAGGACGTATAGATGCCGTGACACAGTCTGAGTCAGACCTTGCGTCACTGTCAACACATCATCCATACAAGTGTACATGCAGCAGTCAGTCACACAAACACACGCTGAACGCACAACACACAATCTAGTCACAGAGCGAGACACTAGCAGTCAGATCAGGCGGGTTGACAATAGTTTGGTCAGAATATCTGAACCGCAATTATCTGGAGGTAAAACCAAAAGTGTTGGCGCACAGAATTTAAGTAATAATGAGCCCTAACTGCCATGGATGTATGACCAGATCTGCATACAGCGTTGGAGGCGGGGCTCCATTCATTCCTACATAAGTTGCTCAGTGGTGCATGAAGTAAAAAGAGCCACTTCCCGCTGTAAAGAATATTAGAGAGATATTCTTCCAGAGACTTCCACCAGGCGAGGCAGCTGACTTCACTCCACTGACTTAAATGGGGCTAAAATGATTTAATGGTGTCGCTCTGCTAGACTTTCCAAATGTTATCAGACTGAATGAATCACATTCAGGTGATTATACACTAATGAAAACGTACCTTATGTTTTGTTCCATTTCTGACAATAGATCCTCCTAAATGTTACACACTGGACCTCTAACACTACGCACACTTCTTTAAGTGGATGTTTGTTGGCTGTTGGTTCATGTAACACACTGTAATTCTGCTGCCATTTTGTCCAGGACTCTGCAGCACTCGTACAAAAAATACAATTACAATCTCAAGAGACCCCACTGGCTAAATTAAGGCCAAAATAAAAACAGGTAAAACACTACCGGGGCTTGAGCCAGCGACTGCAAGAGGCAATACCAGCATCAAATTTAGCCTGCAATTTAATCTTCTGAGAGAGGTGGTATTTCCTCTGACTTCAGCTGACATCTCTATAACTTCTCTATTGGCTTCCATTCAAGCTCTGGTCTGTGAGGGCACATTTGTTAATGCCCGGGCTGAGTAACACTGGTAATAAGCTGGCAGCATGCTAAGATTTCCATCAGCCTGCAGCCAGAGATGTAGTGATATGGTGAAACTACATCACCGAATCACATCAAGCCAAAAGTATCAATCTTGTATCTCTCTTCCATCCATCCACCAGTGTCAGTACAAGAAGGATATTAACCAATGCCTTGCCAATGTTGATGATGGGGTATTTTGAAGCTAAAAAATATGGAATATTTTGTAAATGCTTATCACATAACTGCTTTGCTATGAACTATGTCTCTAACAAATGATAGCACTTTAGTCTATGCATTGATTTCTCCTCAATCAATCAAATGTATGTACGGAAACATTAAAAACACAACCACCCGAATTTACACCAGTCCAACTAGAGCTTTGCCTGGCGGGGATAAATATCAGGTCATCATCTTCCAAAAAAAAGGTGCAAGAAAAATTAATAAATGACGAAAACGGCTAGCATTAACACAATGTTAGACTAAATAAATGAAAAATAGCAATTAAGTCTGATTATCAGCCCAGGTTAAAGACATCTCAGGCTAAATCACACTTTACCATCCTCCTCTCTTACGTTGCTAGTTTAGAGAATCACTCTATTAGCAACACTAGACTGGAAGAATTACCAAGGGCAGTTCCGGTGATAAAAAAAAAAAGTAAAGAATGATTTTTGTGATACAAAGTTTGCATTAAACTGTGATGACAGCAGAGCAACAGTGCCTGAGCCCCCGGAGCAGTCAGCGTTCCCCTGAGCAGGCGAATGTAAAATGATAGTGGGATTCTGTGATTGGAGGCAGACCTGCTACTGGGCTCTCCCTCTCCCGTTTCTGCTGGCCTAGCAGGGAACGAGAAGAAAAAACCCTGCAGGATTTCCCCTACGCGCACACACACACACACACACACACACACTCAATCACCTATCACTACCGTATTGCACTTTCCTGAGCTGTTAAATAGCGTAATTATCTCCCGCTCTCCTCTCCCTGTCCTGTTCTCTTACTGCACCATCTTTCCCAACTCCCCACCCAAGGGCATCCCCCCCACACACACACACACAACCAAACCGCCTAATTCGGAAGTTACCGCACAATCTACCGCTCCAGCAATCACACGCTGGGCCGGCGCTGAGGCCGACAGTCCACTAGACTGTGGGGAAACCCTGGCAGCTTACAGGACACAGTTTCAATAAGAAGGTGGATGATGGAAACTGGTACGGAGGTGAGATTTTGTTTAGGGGGGGTGTAGAGAAACAGACGCTGGTGGATTGCAATGAAGACATCACTCTGCACGGGCGAGCCAAGACATGGTACGGAGAGTGCCAGGAGGGATAACAGAGCCGCCACGGAGACAGACGGGAACACTGGCCGAGACACAGAGACACAAAGAGAGAGAGACAATCAGACAAAGAGGGGCAGGGAGGGTGAGGGAAGGAAAGATATGCACTGAGTCAGTTTGCGTTGTTTTGACTTGTACAACATCTGGGCACATGCGTGTGTGTGTGTGTGTGTGTGTGTGTGTGTGTGTGTGCCTGCACCAATGCCATCCACGGGTGGCTGGACATGAATCTGTTTTCTGGGCGAGTCAGTTTCCATCGGCAAATGCCTCTGAAGGTGACACTATGACCTGGCCTCACCGGCCACAGCATTGTTTTCCACCGCGCCCTCCCCTTCCCCCAATCCATCCCTCCATCCATCCCTCCATCCATCCCTCCCCCAGACAGCCCAGCCCAGTTCGGTCTGCAAGTTCAATTCAATTCCCACGGTTCTTTATTGGTATATTAGAGAGAGCTTTAACACTACATTAACTCTAAAAACACATGCAGCTTTAACAAAGAAAGACCGTGCATAACTTATAACTTTAACTTGAGTTAATACAGTACCAATACAGAAACAAACTAAATGAGTCACAATTAATAAAAAAAATTTCCCATTACAGGAAACATTTAACCACTTCATTTCAATGCACTTTTACCTCAATTAGCGGGTTCATGTCACATTCAGCTTCTGTGTACTTAAGGCAAAGGAGAGTCCAAAATGAAGGAAGCTAACATAGCTTATTAGCTGTGTTTTATTTTTGTGGCAGTCGCTAAAACTGCTCTACAAAACATGATTCATTAGCAGACGGTTACGAGAGTCTAAAGTACATATTTGTATGTCTATTCAATATTATTGTGCCGAGCTAACAAGCTTGCTGACTTACAGCTGTGTAACTCACAGCTAGCAAGTCAACTAACCCCCACCTTAAATATTCTGACCCCAGTCTTCAATATTCACTTTTATTAAATGAAACGAAAAAACAGTCCTGAGAACAAAATGTCATGGCGGACTAAATGTCCCAGTAGAAGAGGAAAAAGGACAAAGAAAGAGTGTTAGTGACTTACTAGCATGTTCCTGGCTCTGCACGTACAGTAGTTCACCAAGCAGCGCTGCATGGTGAACCTGTGGCTGGACCAGAGGAGAGAGTGGCCATGTTGGTACCTGAAACAAAAGAGTTTATCCCCAACTTCACAGTCAGAGTCCATCACTCTCAAGCTAAAGCTGTACTCGTATCAGCCTCACATGTAACAACTTCAGCTTTGAGTTTAAAGATAGCACGCTAATGTGCTAACACTGTCATGTTAGTATGGATGCTGACATTAGCATAACTTGCTCACAATTAGCGTTTTTAAGACGCAACATTTTGCATGTTAGCATAATGTACATTAAGGATATCACTTTCCATGTTAGTTGGCTAGAGTTAGCATATTAGCACGCTATCGTTAGCATTATTCTTCCAGTGCATCTCTCTCTCTGCTCTGTCTGACTTACTGACAGCTGGCAGCTCTCTGTCTCTGCCTGTTGTTGTCTGTCTGTGTGTGTGTTCTGTCTGTCGTGTGTGTCTGCTGTCTCCCAGGGGTGTCCGCATCTGTGTCTGTGACCTTGTGCCTGAAGTGAGAGTGAAATATAACTTAGGTTTGATAAACGCCAATGGCCAACACTGCTTATAAGCTGCAGCTCGGGAAAAAAAGATAACATGCGTTCATACTGTGGGGACCAGTCCACTCCAGAGCATAGGCTATATGGACGTGATGGCACTGCTCACAGACACACATCATATTAAAACAACACAGTGATTATCTAGTCTCTCAGTCAATGTTTAGTTAACTGTGGATTAATGCAAGACGGAAGGCAATGGCACTGACTATTGTTTAAATATTGAATTAAAAATGTTGATTAGCTGGGCATAAATAAAAACCATCAAGTGTTCAGAAATGCCGTAGTACAAATATTATTTTATATTTATACATGTATTTATGGAAATCTTGGGGAGCCAGTTTGTATGGGTATGAAGCAGCTATTTTGAGACTTAAAGCTGCAGCCATAGCCAACAGGCTTATTTCTAAATTGTGCATCCAAAGCTAATTGTATAATATTGTGAGGACTGGGCTAATTACCATGTAACAGAGTCAAAGCTCACTGTTATATTTTATTATGTTTTATATTTTCCACAATTTCTTATTTATTCGAATGTTAAAGCTGCAGTAGGTAACTTTTATCAACTTACCTTTTTTTCATATTTGCTGAAATTTTCAGTGTCCAGAGTGTAGTACACAAGAAATCAGGTTCCTCTGGCTCGCTCTATCGTTCTTAATGGCATTTGCGAGAATCCACCGCG